ATAAGAAAGAATCGTCATCAATTCTGTTAATTTTTTAACAATACGGTATCAAATTGAAACTTAAACTAAACTTAGGTATAGTTTTGAAACAAAATAAAGTTTAAGTACCAAAACGGAACATAAGTAATGGTTTAGGCACTAAACATATAGTTTACCTCAAAAATTATATGAGCCTAGAACAACTGCAATCCAAAATGTTAAAGTAATGAACATTCCCCCCACTAACTTGAGGTCTTCCAATGAAAGTAAAAGAATAGCTTTAGACCTACCTCTCTGTCTATATGAGGAGAAGCACTCTCCACCATTGTTCTATTTCTTCTTTGATCCAACTTTAGGGTACCCTAAAAGAAGAGAATAAAAAGACCCAAACTTTCCCTCCAAAAAGCCATTGATGTGCAACCCCAATTCCTTGATTTCAACTAATGAGAAAACTCCAAGGATTCTTATAATCATCATAAATTATATAAAAAAAACTTTAAGAAATAGTTAGTTCCCCTCACATTCTTCACATCTTGTTAATTACACTTGTCCCAGTAGATATGATGCTTTAGGATGGTAAAAAAACTCATACTATCCGATTTGATTTGGGTTTATAAGACTTTTTTTTATATAAAATATAAATTTAAGATCAAGTCAATTTTTTCTTAAGTTTGGAAGGATCGAGTTCGAGTTTGGAGAACATTCACCTGCCCCACCCTGAAATAATTATGAAAATATTTTTATATATTTATTTATATATTATTAATTAGGTTTTGATAAAAATAGATATAAACTGAATAAATTGATATTTTATTTAATTATTTTTATTTTATCATGTGAAGAATTAAGAATATACTAAATTAGATCGGATCGTAGTTGAAATCAGGTTTTTAATTAATTTTTAAAATCATATTTAAGATGTCACATCCTCAAACCCAACTTAAAATTTTTATCGAGTTTGTGAGTGTTACATATAACCACCGGAGTGACGAACAAAAATCCTCTGCCCCTCTATGTGTCCCTCTTTATGCCCTCTAATAACATTTTGACACGTGTTTTTTATTTTTATGGCAACACATGTAAATTTCTAAAAAAAAATTACTTTCCTTTTAGCTTCATCTTCTACTATCTCTCTTTTATTTACGAACTCCAAAATAAATTAAAAATTTTCAGGTTGATTAATAAAAAAATTCAATTCTCAACAGATTTTAGTGTGCCCCAACTGATAAATGGTATTCTTTTTCTTTCTGCAAAATTAGTAATTGATTATCATTTTCCAATTCAATAAAATAAACCCACACCTTTGGATTTTGTATTGTTATTGTTACCTTAGCAGTTGATTCTGGAAAAGCACAAGCAGCAGCTTTCGATTGTATTTTCATACAAATGAAAGAAACAAACTTTCGACTTTTTAGGAAAAATAAGAAAGAGATCATTCAAAGGTAGCAATGGTGTCAATTTGTATTAACCAATTTTTGTGGACTTATCTTCTCAGTTTACCCGCTTCATCAAAACGATATATATATATATTTATATATACACACGCCAATGTCAAACTCTTGTATTCATGTATACAGAACTAAATTTGCATATTCGGGAGAGGGGGATGACAGTGATGAAGATTTCTATAAATAAAAATACACGTGTCAAAAATATTATTAGCGGGTCACAAAGAGGGGCACATGGGGGGCAGAAGATTTCTATTCCCGAAGTGACCATAAACTTTTAATACATTGTAAACCAGAATTTTCTCAATTCCTAAAACAATTTATATATAAAAAAGAGCTTTTTTTATATTTGAGAAAATAAAATGTATCAATAAACATTTATAACTTGACTTAGATAAAATTTTAACCTTTACATACCCACTTAATTAATCAGTTTTATACTTGAGTGATCTATTAAAGCTCCTCTAAAGATGTTATTGCCTCATCATGAACCACGAAATATGTAACATACGGACAAAAACAATATAAACACTAAGCTTACAAAGTTTTATGGTACATAAACATGCAAGTCAGACATGAAAGCAAATAAGCATAAACATTTATATTCTTATTCTTCAGTTAATTATTAAGGCTCAACCTACATCAAATGGTACGAATTATTCATTTGGGTATTTGAATAATCTCATACCGCACATGGCCAAAAATCAAATAAATATCATTAAGACCATACATCAATTAAGTGTTGGTCATAGTTTTTTTTTTAAAAAAAAAGGGTTTTGTATTCATTGGAGAAATTCGAATACAAAATGACAAAAACATGAGTCTCGTTAAAAAACCTTCCTAGTCCTAGTTGAAGGAAAAAGAGTGCACCATGTTATGTCGGAAATCGAATAATCAACCAATACTCATACACAACGTAATTAACAACCCAACAGCTATGCAGGCAAACATCACTGCAACTCAACCTTCCCGTGCAGCCTTGGAGGCAATCCAACGCAGCAGCTAACTCTATGAATCAAACATAACAACCACAACAGAAAGAGGACACCAGATCCATAAGAAAACAGTACGCAAAAACGGTCGATCATAGTTGTACATCAAATAAATGTCACACAAATTATATATCAAATAAATATCACTCAAGATCGTACATTAAATAAATGCCACTCAATTCATACATCGAATAAATATCACATTAATCGTACATCGAATAAAAGATAGCATCGGATCTTACAAGGCTCCCCAATCACCACACATGGTTACAAATTATTAATAATATCATTCAATCTCAATTCACAATTATCAATATGCGCTTAGCCTTCATCAACATTATTTCAAATTCGTATGCTTGGTTTGAACTATAATTTTATAAACTCGACTCGATTAAAAAAATTCAAATTCAAATTAAGTTGTAAAATAAAACTTGAATAATTCAAAATTTTTAATAATTAGTATATTGATTTTCCATTTTAAGTTGAATCTGTCGACTCTGTATGATATATGTATATTACATATGAAAAAAATATGTATTATATATGATTATAAAAAATCTAAATTAGAATCAAATAATATCACAAAATTATAAATATTTATAATTAAATTTAAATATAAACTAAAATTTTGACTCGACTGAACTCGAAAAAAAATTCAAGTCAATTTTGAGTTATAAAACATAAATCATCAACTCAATAACTTAATTTTTTGTTTTACTAATCGGATTGAACGTTGACTCTTACTCAACGATGTAAATACTATGGACCCATCACGTGGGACCCATCAACCAACCCAACAAGTTCGACATTCGGACAATAATACCAATAAAAGTTAGGTTAGGGGCAATGCGATTGGGTGGAGCGTGGAGTTAATTGCATTTTGCTTGCATGAAAAAAATGATCATGAATATTAGTACGGTAATATAAATTTGGATATTATATTTTTTATTCCGATTCAGAACAATTTTTGCAATCAACTGTAGAACTACCTTTAATTTTAATTTTAATAAAAAAATAATATTTAAATTTTAAAAATATAAAACTTAAAATAAACCAAATTAAAATGAAGAAATTAAATCAATCATTTATGCACAATTCAGAAACTAACGATAAAAAACGGAAGGAAAGATGGAAAATCTTAGGATTTGGTGGCGTACTCCGAAAAGCTATTATTTAAATTAAAAAGAAGAATCTGTGAAATTAAGAATTAATTAACCTACAATAAAAATTGTCTTTTGTTTGATTTTGTTTTTGGAAGTGAATAATAAAATAATTTTTAACCTTTTAGTTTAATATTGTTAATCATTTTTATAATGTTACACTTGATATTGTATCACCTACCATTACATATTTAGAAAGATTTTTTTAAGAAAGATACAAATATGTTAACAATATAATTTTTGTTTGTGGTGGACACAAATAAAATTTTAAGATTGACACTATCAGTAAAATAAGTAATCAATTGAAGAAATTTTAAATTTCATGACGAACACATACTCACACTGAGTATATTGTGGATCTGTCATTGATCACGTAACACATTATTTTGAATTTAAACAATCTTTATTCTATAATTAGTATAATTATAAAAATATTTCTAATATTTAATTAAATAATTATTTTTACTTTATTTTTTGGAGTATTTTGACACTAACGTTTTATTTTAGAGGAAATTAATAACTATTACTGCTCTTTGTTGATGTGATAAGATATATGTCTAAAGTTATAATGTAATAGATGCTATACCTGGGGAAAAATAGGAAAGAGGGGCAAAATTCTACAATTTGTGTGTAGATTATACTTTTCTTTTTGTTTTACATTACAGAGCAAGCATTGGGGTTTTCATCACTGAACATCTGCGGAGGATAAGCGTAAAACTCAGTGGCATACCTTGGAGCGTAATAATATAATTCGTTTCTCTTCACCTCCACCGCCGCTTCTCCGCCGTCACCACCATCACCACCTTTCATGTCCTTGTCATTGCCGCCTTGGGACTCTTTCTTGTCCTTTTCTTTGGGTTTTTCTTCTTGGTTTTTACTGTGGGACTCTTGCTTCACTATCAGTGCGTGCTTGCAGGTTCTTTTGTAAATGAGTCGGGTGGAGCTCGAATATTACTGAGATAGATTTGACTTTAAAAAATTAAAATAGAGTTCGACTCGACAAAAAAATTCACGCGTTTAAAATTACCAAACTCGACTCGAATTCAAAATAAAAAATAAAAGCTCGATTTGAGTTCGAAAAAATTTAAACTCAAAATATTCTTAGAATTAACTTGATTAAAACTCAAATTCGAGTTCATACATTAACCTTTAATACATGAAAAAACTTATATTGTAACTTTTTAAATAACAACATATAAATGTTAATGTTATTAATAATTTAATTTAAAAAATAAAATTTAATATATTATATTCTCGAGTTGAGTATCAAGTAGCTTGTTTCGCTTCATTAATAATCCGATTTGAATTTAAACTAAAATCGAATATGTTTAATTTAAATATTAACAAACTTTAATCGAATTAAAGTTTAATATATTGAATTTATATATATATATATATATATATCATTTACCTTCTATTGATTAAAAAAGAGCTAATGAATTCAATAAACAAATGCAATGAGGAAAGAAATTGAAACCTTTCATTCTTTGAATACGTTTCTTGATTTCTTGAGCACAAGCTTCACAGTGCATGTGAACCTTTAACATCACCACCACAGCCATCACCTCTTCTTTCTTTTCTCCACCCTTGTGCTTTTCTTTTTCCTCCGCCGTGGACGGTGGCTTTGGGATGGGTGAGAGAAGCTCAACTTGGCAGTTGCTTTTAATTTGAACTCTCTCGAGAACTTTTAAAGGGTCGGCTTTGTCACCTTTCACCACCACTTTATTGCTCTTGCAGTCCGTCATTACATCTTCCACTTCTACAAAAACAACAATCAAATCAAATGAAAAAAAACCAAAACCAAAATAAATAAATAAACTGTTGTTTTGGAAACCTTGAAAACCCCTGAGACAACATCGGACTTTACGAGCGCAGCCTTCGCAATGCATGTAAACTTTCAAGATAATCTCCTGTGGTTGAGCAGATTCATCTTCTTCAACCTTTTTCTCTCCCATTTTCTTCTCCTGGGCTGGTTTCTTCTCTTCCCATCAAACAGAGCATGTTAATGTTTTATAGGGTCGAGAAAGGAGAGTGAAAAAATGGGTATTTTAAGAGATGATCATCACCTCCCCCATTATTTTACAGAATCTGGGTTTGACTTTGGTGTTGAATGGTGATGATGATGATACAAGGGAACTTTGCTTGATTTGCTAGTCTCTGAATTTGCTTTTTCGTTTTCGTTTATTCTCTCTCTTTTCTCACTGTAAAGTGTGATTTCCCCAGCACCATCGGATGTGGAGAATCCGGGCAAAAGTGTCCAAATAAGGATGTGGGAATGTTCAATTCCCAAATTAATGCACTTATCCGATTAATTCTTGATCTAGGGTGTTTTTTACATGCATCTTTAATTGAAATTCAAGAAAAAAAATTCACATTTTTATACAAATATCACCTAATATAAATTAATTATTTGTTACGTAATATTTAAGAATATTTTACGGATTTAACAAATTTTTAAATATTTTCTATAAAATTATTCTTGCATTAAATTACACAATACAATTATGTCTACAAATTACCACTTGACACTTTCTGATGCGTTTTTGACCCTTTCAAAATCATATACATATAATATATTCTAGGATTTTGAAAAATAATTTTGCAGAAAGGTGCGACACATTCACCGCATATGATTTTGAAAAATAAATATTAGTTATAAAACTTTTATAAATATTTTTCAAAATCCTATGCGGTGCATGTACCGCGCCTTTCTGCAAAATTATTTTCAAAATAATGATGATGATGATGATCCGTAATATTTTATAAAATTATTTATATTTTAAATTACATACCCTCAAAGTTTTCCTAGAATATACTATATGTATAGGATTTTTGAAAGGGTCAAAAACGCATCAGAAAGTGTCAAGTGGTAATTGGTAGACAAAATTGTATTGTGTAATTTAATGCAGAAATAATTTTATAGAAAATATTTAAAATTTGTTAGATCCGTAAAATATTCTTAAATAGTACCTAACAAGTAATTAATTTATGTTAAGGTGATATTTGTGTAGAAATGCCAACTTTTTTTTCTTCTTTTAAAGACTCTGGGATTTCAATAATAGAATTCACCCTAAAGACGTCGAAGAATCTGGTCCAACTCTGAAGATGTCAAGAGATCCCAAAACCTTGTAGAAAATACCTTAGATCAGCAATTAATCGAATGAGTGCATTAGTTTGGGAGTTAAACATTCTCACATCTTTATTTGGGCACTTTTGTCGAAGAATCCGAGACCATCAGATGTAAAGTTGTAATTAAAGCGGACTTGGAATTTATTTAATAAACTAATTAAGCGATTTTGATGGTTAAATTAATCATTATTACTTTTAGTTGTTTTAGATTCAAGTACAATGCTTGCAGTGAAATGACCATCCAGCTCAGTTGGTAGAGCACAAGGCTCTTAACCTTGGGGTCGTGGGATCGAGTCTCACGGAGGGTTTTTCATAATTTGGAGGTCTCCTACGGAAGCTGCTCTTAACCTGGCGTTGAGGGCAGCCTATTATCCTACCTCCCCCTTATCCCATTACATATGAGAATAAGAGTCAGCTAAATTTTTTTTACAATGCTTGCAGTAACGTTTGATCATTCATGGTTTTAATTTTTTTTAAACAGATACTATATTATAATAATTTATATTAATAAAAAATTCAAATAATTATATTTGATTTTACTTGATTCAGGAAATAAGATTATAAATAAATCATTGAGTTTTAAAATGTTACAGATGAGTTATTAAATTAATCAATTGTTGCCAAAATGTCCTTTTATCTTTGAGTGTGTAACAAACGTTAACATTTTAATTATAATTGAGTGTTATAGTTATTATAATCGATAAATTGATTGACCTGATTGTTACAATTGATAAATAGAGTAATTTGATTGTAACTAAAATGTCAGCGTTATTTTATTTTTAACGACAAATTGATATATTTGTAACAATTGATTAATTGAGTGATTTATTTGTAAATTTTTGAAATATAGTGACTTATTTATAATTTTAGTAATAATTGAACGACTAATAATATCATTTACTCACAAATATTAAGCCTGAAAAAGTTTAAGTGAAAATTAAGTTTGCAAAAAAAAAAAACCCCGATGATTGTTACCAATTAGTTGGTTTAGTGGGATGAGTCACTAGATTCCTTAAGCAAAGTCAATTAATTTGAATTAGTCGGTCAATAGATTGGATATGAGTGATTAATTAAAAAATATGATTGTTTACACAAAATTTATTTTTAATAAGAAGCGTCTTGTCCAAAGCATTAGGTTTGAACAAGTTTGTAGTATGGAGCTCCATGTACATTACGATTAAGAATATTTGCAAGAGATGTGGGAGGCGAAGTCAGGAGTTGGGTCTCATATGATTCTGAAAGTGGCAGTGTGGAAATGTCATCGGCAAGCATATTACTTTGACGGAGAACCCAAATGATATCGGTCAGTCATGCACGTTGTCTCAGATGGTTGATAGCTCGAACGAGAAATAGGGGCTTGGAGAAGAGTCGGCTCCAACGATGAGCTTCATTGCCGCTGAAATGTTTGTTTAGATTTGGATTTGTTCGAATTCATAGGACCATGCGATGTGGAGACCGATGAATAATCCTCACAATTCAGCCTGAAGGGCATGGGTGATACCCAGTGGTTTGTGATAACTAACAAGTCATCTACCTTCAATGTGAGACATAAATTCATTAACCTGAAAAATCATTTATAAATAATAACTTTAATCTTTGCTTTAACATCATAAAGATGGTTCAACGACAAGCGGGCAGATTAAGAAGTTGATTTAGCCTCATTTGGGCTTTGAAATGGATGACCATAAGCCATTTGAGCGTCCAAAAGGAAACTGGAGCTTGGGACCTTAATGTCAAACATCAATAATCAAAATCAAACGATCCCTTTTTTTCATTACTCATATTCAATTTATTGATCGATATCCAGATCGAATATTATACAAGTCCATTTATGGAACGATCCTTTTAATTTAGTTTGTTCCACTTAAAATTCTAAAATTTGAACTCTTAATCTTACTTAAAAAATATAGTATCTCATCTCACGATATCAATTTATTAATGGTAAAATCAAACAATCCCTTTAATCTAACAACATAGCGGATATGGGATATGGGTGTCTCATTAGTTATGTTTTGGTTCAAATCCATAATGTATTTTGTGTTGGTTCCAGATCTTTCATGTTATTCTTCGAATTTCCACAGGATGTTGTTAGATTAATGTCCTATCCCTTTATGTATCGTGCTTTTAGTTTAATTGGCAAATTGGTTCAAGTGTCATTCATTGTATGTTAAAAAGTCTAAACACATAAACTTATCATGTGATTTCAATGATAGAAGGGAACATTCTTCTTCTTAAATTTTGGATTTGAGTAACCATATATGTAGAGTGTACACATGAACTTATCACGTGATTTCAATGATAGAAAGGAACATTGTTGTTCTTAGATTCTGAATTTAAGTAGTTGTGTCTACAGAGTGTATGCAATGAATATATTAAGAAAATTTTAAACACGTACTACTTATAATCACTCCATATTACTAAAAAACAAAAAGTCTAAACATGTTAGGGTAAAATGGATGACCCAAACCTAGAAAGGCGAGTGTAGTGGGCTTCCTAAACCCCTCTTGGTGATGGCCTAAAAATTAGAAATGTTATTTGACTCGAATTCGACGGGTTTTAATCCACATCGATTCTATAAAATCGATTTTTTTTTTTAAAAAAAGTTAAGTTTAGATAATGTTATGTCGGATTCAGATTTAAGATGAAAAATACTTGATTGACTCGTAAATAATAGTATAATTAAAATTTATATATTTAGAATAATTATTGTAATACCCTTATCTATATATATTACCTAATAAAAACGAATATATACACATATATATACCCCCATTTTTTGTATCTACTACATATCTTTATTTGCCTTCTAATTTATTTCTTTATTAAATGAGTCACATTTCAAAAATTTTAAACAATATCAATTAAAATTCGAATTATAATCTCAAACATTTAAAATGTAATCAAATTAATTTATGCAATAATTATTGAACTCTTTGTCCTTATTTTGATGAAAAAAGGGAAGTGGAGGACAACTGGTAAAGTGATAATCTACATTATTGAAATCTGATATTAATGTATCTTTTGATTGCTTAAACTATTCTATAAGATATGCTTTAAAGTCGAAAATGTATCCTATTCACAGAACCCTAGAGCAAACCATAATGAAAACAATGCTTTCTTCTTCTTCATGATTTTGTGTATATGGTCAAAACGAAATGCAATTAAGAAACAATATTAAGAAGTAACATTAATAACAATATTAATTATTTTAACTAAAACATAGCATTAACAATAATTAAGAAAAATTAACTTCAAAAAAATTATAGTTGCTCTCCCTCTTTTATATAGTTCTTCTCTCTTCTTTTTAATTATTTTTCATCGCTATTTGTTTATTCTTGTAACATTTTTTTATTTCAGAGTTTAATTTAACGTCGTCCCTTCAAATTCATATGTCACATGGAATAGTTTGGTGGAATTGATTTCCCATTGTTGTCGCTATAAGTCGGTCAAAAATTGCTAGTAAAATGTCTGAAGGAAAGATGGCAGCTTAGAAGAACATATTGGAAGTCTTACAGTGTGGTACTTTGATATAATGTTAAAATAAGACTTTATCGATTTTATTATTATTTAAGTAATAAAATTAATAAAAATTATCTAAAATATTATTATTTTTTTATCTAAAATATCAATTTTTTTAACATTTCCGATAAAAGTATCCAATAATAATAAAACATGTAGAAAAAATAACAGAACCAGTAGTTATTATCAAATCCGGTAAAACGCTCAATAATAACAAAATCGGTAGAAATAATAATATTTTCGGTAATTTTTATCGATTTTATTATTTAAATAATAACAAAACCAATAGCGTATTTTTTTAGCCGTA